GCACCTTTCGCGTGTTCGAGGCACCTGAGCCGATCCTCTATTGCTTGCATGGTTACCGCAGATCCGTCGGTGATCTGCATGTGGTATTTCTCTTGGCTGCTGCCGAATTCGGTTCGAAGATCTGCTTTAGTGGACTCATTTACCCTCTCTATGCGCCCGTTCAGCTCGTTGGTGACCAGGTCCACCTTTTCAGACTGTCCTTCTAGCTCTGCCTTGAGGGAGTTGTTTGTGTTTTCGATATTGTCTAGTCTCTGCATCATGTCCTTTGCCTTTCCCTCGGCCATGAGCTTCAGATATAGTATCTCAGCGTCATGTCTGGCTCGGACTTTTGTTGCCTTCAATTGCATGGCCTTGTGCCTATCGAGGCCTGCCTGATGTATTTGTGCCATCGTCTGGTTCGTTTGGTTTTGGACTTTGTCTACACCCTTTTGCCGCATTATCGCATCTGATTCTGTTTTGTTGCGAAGAGAGTCCACCATGCGCGTAACATCCTGCAGAACAGCTTGGGAGACCATTTGCGTAAGTACGACCTCTACTTGCTGCTGATCATGTTCCACCTGATTTGTTTGACGACAGAATTTGGCCTGGAGATCGCCCATTTCGACCACAAGCTTTTGCACTTCGCCACGCAAATAGTGTTGATCGTGTTGTAGCTTGTCGTAATCTGAAGCCAAGGAAGCGGTCTGATTTCTTACATCGTCAAGGCCAGTTTGTAAACGGGGCAGATGGTCCTCAATGGTCGCAAGCCTGCCGCTCTGCGAACTCTGAACAGCTGAGAGATCGGCCACAGCCTGTTCAAATGTGGGGATCTTGGTTTGAATGCTCTGATGGAATTCCGAGATGCACGTGTCTTTCACAGCCTTCATCCAGAGAAGCCCCTTTTCATCGATCCGTTTAGAAATGCTTTCTCCCATCTCAGCCTGCATCTCGGTAGTTTTGGCTTGTATCTCGCGTTTTACATGAGATTGGAGGATTTCCGAGGCTTGTAGACTCTGAAGTTGGCTTCCTGCCTCGAGCTTCTTGCAGCCTATCTGTCTCCTTTCTCGCACCCTTATGACTGTGTCGGTGTCATTACTTGCTTGCGATGTGAGAGCGCCTGCTGTGCTCTCTCGTTCGTGACGATGAGCAGTTGAGGTTTCTGCACTTGGAATTGGACCCGAGGCAGGTGATGTATGGCTGTTCATCATTTCCGATTCTGTGGTTTCTACCGATGGTTCTGATGGTTGATGCACAATGTCATCGGCTTGAGTTGTGACAACCGGAAAGAACGCGGCAGCTTCCTCTTCCCACAATTGCCGCTCCGCCAAATCATCGTTGTACTTCCCGAACCGAGCCCTCGTGATACGCTTAGGAGGCGGCTCGCTGCTTGATGCTCGTCGAAGATGTTGAATGAGGATCTTGGAGACCTTTTCACGAAACTTCGTCACACGCTCGGTGTGCTTGCACTCCATCTGCGTATCGTGTGCCGCTTGAAGCTCGAGTCTGAGGATTTGTTCCTCTGAGCAGCTACAATTTCGATCATCATTAGACGTAGTAGTGGATTCATCATGGCCCCATGTGAGAAGACCTTCCCATGTCCGCACAACCAGCCCATTAGACTCATCGTTCCCATGAAGAAAGTTTTCCGCGTCTCCCGGGTCTAGACATACAGTCTTGCTATCTAGATTCCCTTTCG